ACTTTTTCCTTGTTTAAAAAAAAAAAGGTTGAGAATTAGGTGAAATTGGAGGTTTTGCTCTGAGTGGAGTTTTGCCTTCAAGGCTCACTAGTTTTTTCTCTCCTTTCTTAATGTCCGTGGAGCGATGATGTCGCAAGATATTAACACTCGTCTCCAGAAAATTAGAAAAGAGAGAAGGCAGATGTCAGAATTGAATACATCTGTGCATCTCTTTTAATTTGCATTTTTATCACTATAATCTTGAACATCAGCTACTTGTATTCATGACGCCTGGTTGGTTGATACTGTCACTGAATACCAATAAGGAAGATGTGTTAAGACAAACAAACACTAGATTATTTTATGAAGGTGAAGGGAAGCATTGCTTTAACAGCTGATCCAGCAAATACTCTTCAGAAGTTTTTTATATAGTACAAAACAACTACTCAACCTTTTACATTACAGTCTATGACTTTCTGTTTTTGAAGTATGGGTGCTATGTGTGTTGCACGCTCAGTCTCTGGGTGATCAGTTTACCAGTTGGTCACTGCAACTAGCGTTACTACTGTGAATAAAAATCCTTAGGAATTCTTAAAATCTCATAATAGCAAAATTTACCATTTAAGAGGTTGAAAACTGTTAGTTCTTCAATTCTGTTTGGTTCTGAAGTTATTTAGTCATGTCACTGTGAGAATTCTTAGACAGCTCTGTTTTTCATCCCTCTACAAATTAGATTGTGCAGTGTTACTGTATTATTAAACTGTAGACATATAGTTTGATTAGATTTGATAGTTTATATATAAAATAACGCTAATTGAACTCCTGAAAGGACGATGAAGCAGAAGATGATTGAAATTGGAAATGGAAATGATTTGGTACAGATATTCTTGGTTGGAAACAAGCTCCTGCTTTACACAGATCATGGGATTTGACTACCTTAATTGCAACAACCTGTAGCATGCAATGCGGTGGTAGCAAAACCTCCAAATCTGAAGCCAGAAACCAGTGGCATGCTCCTCTGTGGTTGACGGAAATGTTACCCTAGCTAAAGATTTAACTCTCCGGGGATCTTGACGCAACATGGAGCATGAGCTCAACTGGCGAATTGTACGTGGTCAGCTTAACCGTTGTGGTGAACCAGTCGGATTATGTGCCAACCGTCACTTATGGGCTTCACATATGGCCACAAAAATGAGGTCGATGATACAACCAAAATGAGCTTCCTCCGTAGGGTGGCTCGGTTTGATCTCAGAGGTGTGGAGAGGAGCTCGGGCATGCAGAGGGAGCACAGAGTGGGACGCCTGCTACTTTACACTTTAATAAACAAACTTAGGCAACGCTAAACCAAATGCTTATTTTGCACCTCAGTATTCTATTTGAGCTGACAGCAGGGTGTTTACTTGCACAGAGTCTATTTCTGATGTTCATTTTCATTGAAAGTTTGGCTTGAATTTTTATTTCTATGGTTTTAAAAGTGTTTTTTTTTTTTGAGAGAGAGAGAGAGAGAGTTTTCAAATGGCTTTATGCTGTCAGTGACTTTTAGTGAGGTGACTGAGCACAACAAAGTGGAGGTTCATGGAGCTTTTATGCCAGCAAGGCAGCTTAGTCATCACGACTGTTGATTCTGTAAGGGTCAGAAGGTATGTGACGCACTGGGAGGTCATACATTCTTTCTGCTGGTTGTGCCACCGGATGGCTGGTCACTATGGTAACATCAGCACTAAATTAAACTGAAGCGAGTCGATTTAATTTTAAAAAAATGAATAATAAAATGTGCTGTAAGAAGACTGCAGACAAACATTACTACTGATACAGAAACACATCTGTGGGCTGAGGCCAAAGCCCAGGAGCTCAGATGTTGTCAAAACCCACTAACTCATCAACTGTTTTCTGATCCCATACAGAGCCTGCACTAATGCCGTTATCACTTACAGGACACAGCCTCAAACTAGTCCAGTGTTGACAAGCAGGGCAAGAAAGGATTTGGTCCTTCAGTCATGTGTGTATTGTGTTGTGGCTTCTAGGCCACGCTTCATCCATTTATACTCATTCAGCTGAGAATGAGTGCTTTACAATGAAATCTTTTCTGCCTTTACACCTTTCTACCGTGAGGAGATAGAGCAGATGCCTGATAGGAGATAGAAAACGTCTAAGTTGTTTTCGCCTGACCTGCCTTTTCAGAGCAGGGCAGAAGGAGGAAAAAGGAGGAGATGAGCAGAGACACTAAAGTCGGTGTGCCTGCGGGTAAAGTGAAATCCAGTCAAAAGTAGAAATTCAGAGTTTGGATTATATTTTTTTAACAACAGGCTGCTGTTTGTTTGAAATGCCTTAGAAGGAGGAAAAAGGAGAAATTTCTCAATGTACTGAAATACAAACATCCCCACCACCCCACCAAACAAAAAAATAAAAGAGCTGCACCTACAATACAATAATAATAATAACTAGAATTATTCAGAGAGTACAAAGTTCTGCCGAGGCGGCTCAGTCTCTGGGCAGTATTTACTTTTAAGGGCATAGTATAGTAGGAGTAGGCTAACCTGCACTCAAAAAAATAATTCATTGGATGAACGTAATTTTATCTTGCCACTTATATTCCATCTAAACAAATCATGTTATATTAATCCATCTTGGTTGTGTTGTGTCAACACAATATATGTGTGTAGGTTTAACATAATATTAACATTAACATTCAATTAATT